CACCCACACCCCCCTGCAGAGGACACTCACCCACCACCCCAGTTGTTGAAACTAGAATCCTCTGTTCTTTTTAAAGAAAAGGAATATCCAAGCCAGGACCTCTCCAGGTGATCTGGACGGATCAGATCTAACTGCAGCAGCAGATCTAAGTACAACTCAGCCATACAGCCCATTTTATCTAAGTGCTTGCATTAGAAAAAAACAACCACAAAAGACAAGAAGAATCCATTTTAAGTGGAAACAAAAACTAAGTAAAGCTCAGCTTGAATCCAGGGCTCCGTACAAGTAATGTAATATTTGCAATGAGCACAGGAGCTCTGGTTGATCACCTGTGTTTGCAGCTGACGGGTGGGAGCAGCGCCTACCAGTGCTGGTGCCTTTCCTGACGGCTTGTGTTTGGTCTCTTTCCAGTATGCCACAACAGGCTGCTCCCTGACCCTCCACCACACAGAAAAGCCAAAACATGAAGCCATCTGTGAGTACCGTCCCTACTCCTGCCCGTGCCCCGGTACCTCCTGTGACTGGGAGGGATCCTTGGAAGCCGTGATGTCCCACCTCATGCATGCCCACAAAAGCATTACCACCCTTCAGGGAGAAGACATCATTTTCCTTGCCACAGACATTAACCTGCCAGGGGCAGTGGACTGGGTGATGATGCAGTCGTGCTTTGGTCACCACTTCATGCTGGTGCTGAAGAAACAGGAGAAGTGTGAAGGTCACCAGCAGTTTTTTGCCACCGTGCTGCTCATTGGCACCCGCAAGCAGGCAGAGAACTTTCAGTACAGACTGGAGCTGCACGGCAGCTGCCACCGGCTGACCTGGGAGGCGTCTCCCTGCTCCATCCACGACGGCGTGCTCGTGGCCATCCGCAACAGCAACTGCCTCGTTTTTGATACGGCCACTGCACACCTCTTTGCTGACAACGGAAACCTCGGCATCAACGTGACCATTTCTATGTGTTGCCCGTGATGCATTGCTGGCAGACTCGAGCTGGCTGGATGTAGTGCTTCACTGGGGTTTGGTTTTGGTTCCTGTTTTTTACGCTGTTCAACTGTGTCATCTTGTATGCTAAGGTTTCTGACTAGCCAACGGTTGCAACTTTGGGCAGAAGAGGAACAAGAGTGTGCTGTAAGTAATGTGATCAGGACAAGGTCTTTTAAAATTCTTGGGTGCCTTAGGAAGATTACACACACAGTTACCTTTTATAATTTAATTATATTTTATGTGAAGAGTGCTTCCATTGGATATATGGCTTAAGAGGCTCCAGTTTGGAGCACACCTATAAGCCTTTTCATCAGCAGTACAGACTCCCTCTGATGCTGGTGAGCTTTAAGGAAAGGCTTTAGTATCACAAGAGGGTTTGGTTTGGAAGAGACTATCATCTGTTCCAATCCCCCTGTCATGGGCAGGGACACCTTCCACTGTCCCAGGCTGCTCCAAGCCCTGTCCAGCCTGGCCTTTGGCACTGCCAGGGATCCAGGGGCAGCCCCAGCTGCTCTGGGCACCCTGTGCCAGGCCTGCCCACCCTGCCAGGGAACAATTCCTTCCCAATATCCCATCTCACCCTATCCGCTGGCAGTGGGAAGCCAGTCCCCCTTGTCTGTCACTCCAGGGCCTTGTCCAAAGTCCCTCTCCAGCTCTCTTGTAGCACCTTTAGGCACTGGAAGGAGCTCTAAGTTCTCATGATTTACCCTTAGTGAGGCCACGTTGGCTATCACCAATCACCTCCTTGTTTTCCATGTGCCTTAGCATAGCTTCCAGGAGGATCTGCTCCAATCTCTTTCCAGGCACTGAGGTGAGACCTGACCACCTGTAGCTCTGGATCTTCCTTTTTCCTCTTTCTAACAAAAGAGGGTTATGTTTCCCCTTTCAAAGTCAGCGGGAACTCCTCTGGACTGCCTCAACTTCTCAAACACGATGGATGATGGTGGCCAAGCCACTTCCTCCACCAGTCCCTCTGAACCTGCAGGTGCATCTCATTAGGTCCCATGGACTTGTGCACCTTCAGGTACCTTCGACCTCCCCGACCCCAATCCTCCCCTGCTGCGGGCAGTTCTTTGTTCTCCCTCTCTCTGCCTTTGCCTCCTGCGACTTGGGCAGAGTGGCTGGCGCAGCTTGCCGCGAAGGCTGAGTCAGAAACATGGCTGAGTACCTCAGCCCTCTCCAGCCTTCCCAGTCCCAGGGAACTGGGGCTCCCATTCCTTCCTTAGAGGGTCCACGTTCTCCCGAGTCTTCCTTTTATCACCCGTGTACCTATAGAGGTTGCTTTGCTTGCTGCCCTTGATGCCCCTGGCCAGATTTAATTCTTTCAGGCTTTAGCATTCCTAACCTGATCCCTGGCTCCTCACAATCCTCCCTGGCTGCCTGTCCTTTCCTGATAGGTGAGAAAGGAAAGAAATCCAAGGAACCTCTCACAGGAGCAGCTGTGGGGGGAACAGTAGGTACATCAGCAATGTTTCTCCATTCCCTGCTACCTTGCGGAAGGGAAGGGCACTGGGTCAGCTCTGGTGGTAGCTTCAACAGGAAAAAGGAGAGAAGGGGCTGGGGTATGGCATGGTACATTTCACATGGAATGTGAATTGCTGGCTCGTCTGCTTTAGGGGGATCAGGCCAGGTACAGGTGCAAGCAGGAGGCACAAGTCCCACAGACTGCAGATGGATGGAGCCAGAGACACAGGGTTGTCCACGTGCAGCTGCCCTGGGACACATTCTACTATTGATTATTGTAAAAGATTCATAATATAGCAAGAGCTTTATGGCCAGTGTCTTGTCATTTGGTATTTAAGTTTTGTTGCCATATTTCTTTTATTTTGCAATAAATATTTTGCAAGACCCGCGCTGAGGAGCTGTGCTAACCCACAAGTGCACGGCAGCTGCTCCGCGCTTACGCCGCGGGCTCGGCCGTGCTGGGTCAGCTGGCACCCCCTGGCATGGGCTGGCTCTCCTGGAGGGGTCCTTGCCCCTGCCACTGTGCTGGCACCACAGCGAACTGCCTGCAGCTCCCAGCTCTGCCATGGGGTCGTTGTGCTTGAATCACTGACAGCAAACCGCAGCTCCCGTAGGCCGTGCCAAACCTCGTCCCTGTGTGTGCCCTTTGGAGCAGGCAGTGAGCCACGGGGTGACACTGCCAGGGGAAGCCTCACAGGAGTGGAAAATGGCAGGGAAAGGGTGAGACTCGGTGTGAATAAATACATACAAACGAGGAAAACCAGTCCTGACTGTTCCTCCTGGGAGAGCTGTATGTCCAAGCCCATAGCAGGCATCACCAGCCCTCAGAAAAGTGCACAAGAACAAGTTCAGCCTCAGTGAAGGGAAGCTCAGTCTGGCTGCAAGAACTTGCAAGTAGCCATGGAAAAAACCTCCCAAGGATTTACTCTCTAGGCACTGAACACCAACAGGTAAAGATTCTACACCTGGTCTCACACTGTGCTCTGGCAGAACTCTGGCCTGGTGAACTAATTGCCTCCTGCATAAGCAGGATCAAAGTCATGCCATGGTTCCAACACCTGTTACCACCTCTGCTTTCATCAGGATTCATCAAGCAAGAATTCCTAAGGATTTGATTAACTTTTCTGTAATTCAGCAAAACTTGTAGCAGAAGGTAGTTTTCTTATTGACAGCTGGGACATAAGAGGATTTTTGCATAAAGCAGAATTCCGGAGTGTGTCTTTGAATACAGCAGGATTAATTACTCCAGTGTTACCTATAATCCACATTAGATAAGTTAACACATGTTATCATTAGGTCTGTCCAGACCACTCAGTTCTGAAGAAGTGGCAAACTCTTGTTAGATTTCACTTCAAAAAAACCCACACAAAATAAACCCATCACCTTGTGTCTTTTCTGACTGAAATTGAGTTTGGGATAAGGAATACCTCAGCTGCACTGCCAAGAAGGGAGGTGTTTCCAGTTCAGGTCATTGAGCAGACAAGTGACATTCATTTCAGGATTCCCTCAGGTTTCAGGTTTTCTTCCCAAGGCAGCTGATACGACTTGCCAAGTGAAAGTTCCCCAAGACATTGAGATTATTGAGGCCTGCCTGGTTCTCTGAACAGAGCTGACCCCTCTCAAGCCCTCAGACTTGAAAGGGAGGGTGAAGCACATCCAGACAGAACTGGCAGCAGACAGACCTGCATGCCGGGCAGAGCCCCAGCCAGGTGCCCTGCAGCCCCTTGGCTGCTCTCCAGCCCACCAGGAGCACCTGCTGTGGATCTAGAGTTCTCCCTAGAAACTATTTCCACTTCAGACAGAAATTAAAATGCGCCTGTCCAGGGACTGATGGGTTTAGAGCGAGCACAGCTCACCTCGAGGGCCTGCCCCGGCCGTGCTGCCGGCCCTCTGCTGTCGGGACCATGGAAGTGATGTCGCAGTGCTATGGGGAGTTCTCGACACTGGCTGCACCTCAACGTGCTCTTGCTGTCTGAAAAGTACGTGAAACTGACTTCTCCGTTGTGGAACTCACGTGCTAGTAAGGCATTGCGAATTCTTACCGACAGCACAGGTAAGGTAGCACACACCTGCTCTCCCGAGGGGAATCCAAACCTGGCTGGGTTTGTGCAAGACGGTTTTCTCTCTTTTATTCTCCGAGCTGTATGTGCAGATTCCTTGGAGAGGTTCGACAGCGCCAAGTCCTACGGGAGAGATCGGGAAGATGTGTGACAAGCGTGTGACACAGGTGTAAGGAATCCACTCGGGCAGGTGTTCCAGGTGCAGACAGGTCGTGTCCGAACAGGCAGTCACGCCGGGTTTGGTAATAGCGCCTGTCACCCCCAGTCCGGCTCGGGCCCCCGCCAGCACCACGGGCCCCCGCAGCCCCGCACAGCCCGGGCGCCTCCGGCTGCCCCGTGAGAGCCGCCCCGGCTCCGCTCCCGGCCGTGGGCCCCGGGCAGTGGGGCCGGCACAGAGCCCGCAGCCCCGCCGAGGCTGGCACGGGGAACGGAGCAGCCGCAGCTGCCGCCCGGAGGAGCAGCGCCCCGGGACAGCGGCGGCCCGGCCAGAGCCGGGTACCGGGCGGAGCCGGGGCCGGGGCCGGGGCCGGGGCTGGGGCGGGGCCGCCCCGCGCGGTCCCGGCGTGCCCCGCGCCCCCGGCGTCGCCCTGGAGACGGCGGCGCAGCGGGCCGGGCATGGACGGGCCGGGCCGGGCCGCGGAGCCCAGCGCAGGGGCGGACGATGCGGCGGGCGGGCCCCGCTGGCCCCCGGCCCCCGAGGAGGGCGCAGAGCCCCTGGCAGAGCCGCAGTGCGAGACACCCCCCGGGACACCCCCGGCCGGCCCGCAGCCGACCCCTCCCCCGACGGTCCTGCCCACCCTCCTGGCCTACAGACCCGAGTCCTCGGAGGCAAACGTACACCACGAGGTCAGTTGGGGTGGGCGCTCCCCGCTGCTTCATGCACACGGTTCCACGTGGAAAACAGGGAACCAACGCCCTTTGCCGAGCCCGCAAAGGAGCCCCTTCATGACAGGTTTTACTTCTGCGAGGCTGTTGAAACAGCCTGGGCAGCAAGAGGCTATGCACCCAACCCCGCTGCATCCTCTGTTGAGAATTTCCCAGCAGAATATTTTGTCTAAATCAGACAAAAAATGTATATAAATAGATACAGCCACCTAATGCAAGCAGGGCACAGAGTTCCCCGTAGCAGAGCAAAGTTACCCAAGAGTTAACTCAAGGCATGAGGTGGGGAGCAATTTTGTTTCAGGCCATCAGTACTCATCCTCAAAGCACACCCTCCTGTCAGCCTGGTTTGCGTCTGGTCAGATGTGACCAGCTCTGTATGACCAAGTCTGCTGGTGCTTCCTCAGAAACTCCCACAAATGGAGTTTTTCTCTCTGTAAGGCACTCAAATCCTCAGCTCCAGTGTTCTGTGCTCTCAGCTTCCCTGGGAAGGAGCAGAACTCACAAATACCAATCATTCCCTTTGTTTGGGGGCATTTATTGATTTATTTATAACACATCTGCTATTCTCTTTGGTGGTTTCCTGAACCTAATGTTTTGAGTCATTCCAAGATATCCCAGACGTGGATCTGTTGTGAGTGCCCTTAGGTGCTTTGTCACATGTGTTGCATTTTCACCGTGCTAACCGGGGATCTGGGGGCTGGTGCCCCTCATCCTTTCGCCATCGCTGCAGGCAGAGGAGGATGCTGAGCCAACCTGCGAGTACTGTGGCAACCTGCTGAGGCCGTTCCCCTTCTCCCAGGATGTGCCTCTCTCCGAGGACCAGGAGGACGTAAGCTGGCAGGGAGGGTGAGCAGGGGTTTGCTGTGGAACAGCCACGCTCACGGCTCTGCTCTCTCCCCTCTAGAAATTCTGCTGCAAGCGCAGCCGGGAGCTCTATGAGTTCATCATGAAGGAGAAGAAGAAGCTCGAGGATGCCAGCAGCCTTCCCAGAGCTATCAGCACCCAGGAATCCCTCAGCTCTGAAGCCAACCTGCTGCTGTCAAAGGAGCAAGACAGCCAGAGGTACTGGGAGGACTGGGGATCAGGTCTGTGTAATGAACAACAGGGAGTTTGAGGGGAAAAGGAGCGATAAGAAACCGCAGGGAGAGGAACGAAAGAAGAGAAACCTTTGCTTTAGGCACCAGTCCTGATTCTCTCTGGTCCCTCCTGGCTCCTCTATTGCCAGGCTGCACAAGGAGGTGGCAAGGCATGTGCTGAGTGAAATGTTAATTCCAATTCTAACAGATGAACTATCTAGTGACAGGTAGAGCCAAAAAAACCTACAGCTGTGGGAAGGGACAGTATTTGGGTGTAGCTTCTACCTCTGGCACTGAAATAAAGCTGGTGTTTGTATTTCTGTTTTGATCTATAAACTGTGTTTGGATTACAGTTTCCAGAGTCACACACAAGAACTCTGCAAGTTCTCAGGCTGTTTAGCAGGAGACCCAAAGCTTGTGCAAGAGTTTAAGCCTCCAGGGAAAGTCTAAGCCACAGGTGTACTAGTTTAGTTTTCCTTTTCCCTAAAGGAAAAGGAAAACTAAACCAGTACACCTGGAAGTAAGCTGTTGGTCTCCTCAAAAATCCTTCACAGTCTGAGGGTGCAAGTGCCTCCTACTACGTACAGAGCACACACCAAGCCACTGTCAGATTCATAGGAAGCTACACAATAGTGAAAATATTCTTGGAGATGAGCTGTTTTCTTGATCTTGTGGCATATGTCCTTCTCTTTCACATGAAATACTGATCCAAACCCCATTACAATATTCAGCTCTCCTTCCTTCACTGCAGTGGCAGTCTGTTCACTGGAATCTGTGTGGGCACAATTCCTTTCTGTTGGGTATGAGTATTTTGGTGACATTCTGCTGCTTATTACTTGGAATTGTGAGCAGGGAGAAAAACAGATTCAGAAATTGTGTTCCTAAAGCAGGGGTATCCACTACTTGCAGCTTTCTAAACATGATACATGAGGTGTCAACAACACTTCTATTTTCCAGGCAGCAGAAGAGACACCTGGCTAGAGAGTTGGCTGACCAGTCTTTAAGGCTGAGTGCCACTAAAGGTGAGCTGGTATTTCCTTATGGATTTGTCTATTTATCTCAACAGTGCATTCAGTGGAATTGCTGGTTTCCAACTGGGGGATTTTATACAGCGACATGTTCATTCATTGTCAGACATGCAATCTCAGTAAATTAGATACAAATCATCCCTCATACATGGGCACAAGAGGAGGCACATCTTTGCACAGAGTTTGTCATGATTTTCAGTATGTATCTGTGATGTTTCCAGCTGAGATGCACAGAACCTGACCTGAGAGGCTAAGCTGGCAAAGCCAAGCCCTTAGGAAATAGGAACTGCCAAAATGAGTCTTGCCCATATTTTGCCTGATCAGGTGGTTGGTTATTCCACCAATTCCTGGCCCAGGCTGTAGATGACTGAGCAGCCTTTGGATAGAGGAGTTTTGACAGGTGAACCAGATTTTCAATATGGGCATGTTTTCAGAGAGAATGGCAGGGCAGTGAGGCTTCTGCAGCACTGGGATCTCAAATGGTCGGTTCCAGTGTGTGGAGCCAAATGTTATCCCAAAAAGTTGCTCTTTACACAAATGTGTGTATATATGTAATTGAAAAAAATGCTCTCTTTTATCATAATCCTGTGCTCTGAAATAGCTGAGCACTTTGGACTGCCCTTGTTAGGAAATAGACAGAGTGTCAGGAGGGAGTGTTTCAGCCAGGAACTCCCACTCCCCCAGTCAGAGCAGTGGTGTTGGGCAGCCCCGCGGTGGGCGCTGCCGACCCTCTGCTGCACAGAGGCCCTCCCGTGCTCTGCAGGGTTACAGCAGGCTGGATCCGCTTCCTACAAGTCTTCCCAGGAACGCACGTCCCCCAAAGGCAGGACACCAGCGCGTCCTGCAAGCGCAGCCAAGCACGAGCCCTGGGCCAAGGAGAAGCACAAGCTCGAACCTGAGCCCTGGTCCAAGGAGAAGCACAGGCTCGAACTCGAGCCCTGGCCTGATGATGAGAAGCCTGAACTAGAATCCCAGCCCAAGGAGGAGTCTGAACTGGAATCCCAGCCTAAGGAGAAACCTGAACTGGAACCCCGGCCCGAGGAGGAGCTTGAGGAAGAGCCCCAGCCCGAGGAGGAGTCTGAGTTGGAGCTTTGGCCTGAGGAGGAGCCCGAGCTGGAGAACGAGCCCGAGCTGGAGAACGAGCCCAAGTCCCAGCCCGAAGAGGAGCGTGAGTCCAAGAAAGAGCGCAAGCACGACAAGAAGCCCGTGTCCCGCAGCATCCTCTGCTACGAATTCAGTCTGCTGGGGAAGAAGGCAGGTACCTGCGGCCGACAGCGACGGGAGCACCTTGGACATGTCAGCGCTGGCAGAGCCTGGCAGTGCCCATTTTCACAGGGCAGCTGTGCCAGACTGCTCTCATCTGTTTTATCCTTCCAATCTTAGGTGGGGAAGGGTAAACTGGTGCAGAAGTACTACAAAAATGGAAAGAAATTCCTTACCATGCTCCCAGACGGAACATCGCAGTTATTGTATCCTTTACAGGGTTCACTTGCCTGCCTTAGTCCAGGGCTGTTGCTAATTTAAGTGTGTCCCAGTCCACTTTATTACAACCCAGCTCATCGATCCCACTTGCTCTGAGGAGCAGCAGCAGTGAAACTTGACACAGCTCCCGGGCTGAGGTTTCAAACAACAGCCAGCTCCAATGAGCACTAGCTTCCAAGACCCAGCCCAATGAAGCAGCACACTTTTAACACCGTGCTCTGGGTAATATATCAGTTTTTACACTCCAAAGTAGTACCCAGAAGTATTTAGTGTGTAATAACAGATCAACCAAGCAAAGCAGGGGGTTATAAACACCTTACCTAGCAGCAGCTATCCATCTGGAAACCTGGCCATCATCATTGCCCAAGCCACAGACCAGCTGATGTGCATAGTACAGGAAGACGAGCCAAGGACAGCCAAAATCCGAGCACTGTTTCAGTCTGATGGCAGGAGCACATGCTATTACCCTTCCGGAGATGAGTGGTGCGTTCAGCAGCTTTGCTGTCTCCTCTGTGCACTGACATCCCAAAGGCCATAAAGGCTATTTTTAACAGTATCCAAAAATAGACAAATTCAGCAGCTCATAGGCCCTGCTTCAGGTGCCCCCAGAGCAGCAAGGCCACCCAGCTGTGCCTTGAGAGCTGGGGAACAGACCCTGCCCCTGCTGTGCCTCTGTCCCATCCCTCAGAGGAATAAGAGACCTTCTGCCACAAGAGCTTACAGGGTTCAGAGCTTCCATTTCCCTTTCTTTAGGATAAATATGAGTATGCAGGGTGGGCAGTATTTGGACCAAGCA